GGTAGTATGTGCTGCAAATGAACAGCATGTGGCACCTGCGGAAGTAACCACCCAGGTGGGAGACGAAGGATGAAAAGGCATTAAGTAGTGAAGAGTGGTGGTGATGGCAGTGCATACGGAATATGTTACCAGAAAATAGCTTATGCAAAGGCCCTGTGGCAGGAGGGCACAAAATTGCTAAAAAGAGGCAGCTGGAATTCAGAGCAAAGGGATATATAGTTGCAGATTAAGCTGGAGTGGTGGAAAGAGCCAGATCAGGTAAGGCTTCAAAAGTTACCCTAAGTAATTACACCCCCAACAATCCCCACCCCCAACACAAAGTTAAGCAGGGAAGAGGGATAGTAGTGACATGATCCGATCTGCTTTTCTAAAAAGATCCCTGTGGCTGCTGTGGAGAGAGGAAGGGAGGTTGGCAGGGTGGGGGGTGGGGGGGTGGACACAGAATGGATCCAGGAGACCAGTGAGAAAGTTGATCTGGTTGTCCAGGTAAGAGATGATGGTAACTATGGTCTAGGGTGGAGACAGAGAAGATGGAGAGGAAAAATCAATAAAACCTGGTGAACGACTGGATGGTAGGGTTGGGGAGACAGAGGCAGGAGAGATAATTTCTGGGTTTTGTGGCTGCAAGACTGGATGGGTGTTGGTTCCATTCATGGAGGTGGGAAACCCTGGGAGAGAACTACATCATGGCTTCAGACTAAGGGTGTACGGTGCTCTTGGGATATCCAAGTGGAGGTGGCCTTCAGGAAGATGTGGACTTGCAGCTCAGGGAGGTCAGAATTGAAAATGTAAATTTGTGAGTCATATACATATGGGTGGAAATTGAAGCCATGGGTGTAATAAGATTGTTTCATGGGAGGGTGGTGAGAAGAGGAGAGAGTCTGGGAGAGAACCTTGAGGAACACATACATACAAGAAAGTTCCTTGCTTGGGTATAGAAGGTGAGTCTGAAAAGTTACTAGGAGCAGCCAGACAGGTAAGAGGAGAACCAGAGAGATACGCTGTGGAGGTCTTCCTTTGGGAGAATTATGAAAAGCAGACTGGCTCAATATGCCAGTTGAGGTGCTCTGGGCTGCAGGAAACAGAGACCTGATTCAACTGACTTAAACAATAAAGACACTCATGTCATATACCATGAAGTCCAGAGGCAGCATATTGAATGAGTTTCAGGGTGATTTTTTCAGTGGCTCCCTGACATCATCCAGGATGTGGGCTTTTCCATCTCTTTGCCGTCCAGGGTGTGGGCTTCATGTTAAGGCTGGTTTCCTTCGTTGCCACACGATGACACCCTTCCATGTTCATGTTTATGGGGAAAAGACTTGGCTTTCTTCTTAAAAGAGAGGAAGAAGCAAAGTTTCCTGCAAGCTCCCAGCAAACGTCTTCTTAAGTCTCACTGTCCAGAATTGAGTCATATACCCATTTCTCAACCAATGGGGGATGGGATTACTCTTCAACCAGTCATGACCATCCCTTAAGCTGATGTGCAGTCCCCAAATTGTGTGGTTGCCAATCAAGGAGGGAGTGGGGAAGGATGGAGGACAGACCACTAAAACTGGGCTGGATATAGTCAATGGACACGGAGCATCCATTCCCATCTCCCTCTAGGGTGCCTTCTCAATTGCATGTGGGAGAGTTAAAAACCTCATTTCTCAGACTTCCCTGCAGCAAGGATAATGACAGTTAATTAGGGTCTGCCATTTAGATGCACTTCTGTGGAATTTGGGTGGCAGAAGTGGGCAGGGGCCATTTTCTTACTGCCTTTTCTCTTGCTACTGGCAAGATGTTTATGGAAGTTCTAAGTTTTGTTCTGATGTCAAGCCACCAGCATAGTGGGAGACAGGAGATAGTTACAGAGGCAGTGGCAGGGGTCTCATGATCCTTGGGTTGCACTTAAAGTGCTGTGTTCTTGAACTCAATAGTTCCAGTGAGCCTCTTGACTCCCTCCTGTCTGGCTGTGGAAGAGCCAGCAGCTTCCCTGGTGGGCCAGTTCTGTGGTGGTGTTCTAGGGATCCTGCTGTGGACTCATCCCTTCAGCACATCCAGCAGTTCTGTCATCAGCCAATGTCCTCCTTTAAGGGGATTTAATACAGAGAACTAGATGTTTATAAAATGCTGATCTAGAGTGGGTTCTGTTCTCTGGACCTGAGGATGTAATTGATGCAATAGCCTGTCAGGAGCAGTATGTAGCCACAGGGGACTGCATGGGTGGCTAGGAATGATGGCAACAGGAGCCTGGGCCTCTCCAAACACCAGTGGAGATTTTGTGGAGGGTTCCCAAATTGCTATCATTGCCAGAAACACATAGGACAGTGCTCAGGACACAGAGATATGTGAAAGGAAAGGCCAACAGGCAAGGGTAAGGATCTAAAAGTAAAGTGCACTGCCTACAAAAGGAGGAAACCTGAAAGGGTTCCCTGGCAAGGAGGTTGATTTGGTTGTCCAACATTTGCCTGAACATTTTTGGTGACAGCTAGCTCACTGGCTGTAGGGGCAGCTCACTGGGACAACTCTGCCTGCTGAGCCAAAATCAACCTTTTTGCATGCATGCTCTTGCTGCATGTGTGACCAACAGGGCAGGTCAGAAACCTGGCCAAAGCAGCAAGGAATGTGGAGAAAGAATACAGGGGTTGTAAACTGGCTGTCAAGGGATAAATCTGGCTCACAGTTGTATTTAGCAGGTATAGTTACTTTGAATTGCAATTCTTTAAGGTGAGGTACACTCTTTAGGTCTAAGGTGTGACACTCTTAGTCACAGGCTCCACCATTCCCTAATGTCTTGGGGTGATTTATGTTACTGGTTCTGAAACACTTGTGATTCCACTATTTGAGTATTTAGGACTGAAGATGCCTGGGACCTTGTGGATGTCAAGGGGCCCCCGGAGCTGTGTGACCTCTAGTGGCAGCTAGAGGCTGGTCAGGCCACAGGGAGGAAAACGGAGTGAAAAAAAATCCGGCTGCCTCTCAGATGCCTTCCCCCTCCCCCCCCTCCCCCCGTCACAAGGTCTAGAGGCACTGGTAAGTGGCCAAAGTCCCTTTAATATCCCTGAATTGCGTTACAAGTAATACTGCTGGAGGTGAGGAAGGGTTGGGGGTCTGGGGCAGGAGATGGGGGAGGAGGAGGGAGGAGGAGCGCCAAGCGCCCATACAAAATACGGCCAAAAGTCTTAGCATGCATGGAAAATTATTGCTGTCGGAAGTTCCTATTTACAGGGTCAACACCCTCCATAATTGCTTCTGCGACCCCTCTCCCTCCCCCCATCCCTGCTGCCACACTTCCCTGGGGGGCCTGGAGCTGAGAAGCCCTAGAGAAGTGCCCCTGCTTCAGGGGCCCCTCCAGTCTCCACCCTTCTTTGTGGCTAGGGGAAAAGGAGGGGGGTCAGAGAGTCCAGGACTCCTGCTCCCCGAGCTGGGCGCCTAGTGATGGGGCAGAGGCTGTGCTTAAAGCAGAGGGGACCAGGGCCTGTGAGCGTGGAGGCGTGTGCTTTGTCCTCGCCTGGGCATGCAAACACGCGGTGGGGGAGGTAGTGGCGGCCAACGAGGGGATGGCTGGCAGCCCTGGCCCCTCAGCCCAGGAGAGTTGCATAGAAGTGGCCGGGAGGCAGAGCTCCTCCCCGGTAGCGGAGCTGGCCGGAGGAGGCCCCAGCGGGGTCCGGGGCTCAGTCGGTCCCTGGAACCTGGGGTCCTTCAAGAAGAGGAATAGGAAACAAATCGAGGAGGCTCCTCCCACCGGTCTCCTTGGAGTGGGAGTGGAAGGTTCAGGAGGGTGGGGACCTGCCCCGGGCCTGGACCTCCTGACATCCTCCTACCCTCCCGCTGAGGGTCAGCATTCTCCTGCCGCCTTCCCCAGCCAGTTCAGGCCCTGATGAGGGTGAGGCCGCTCCCCACTCCCCAGAAAGGTGTGTGGGGGTGGGGGTGGGGGGAGTGGGGATAGCGCTCTGTGGCCTTTGCTGTCCCTCTCCTTGCCTGACTCCCTGACCTCCCAGTCCAGCTGGGGAAGCCAGACCATACCTGGGTGAGACCAAGAGATTAAATAGAATAATAAATAGATAAACAAATAAATACACAAAGAAATAACTAGAGAGGCCCAGACGGGTGGGAGGAAGGGCATTTGTGAGGTACCCCAGGCCTCCCCCCAACAAATAAAGAGGGGTGCCTGTAGTCCTGGGGGTCAGGGAAAGTGCTCAGAGAATATGGGGGAGGGCAACTCCAGGTTGGAAGTCCGGGGAGGGTCTGTCCTGGGCCAGCACGCTACATTAGGGGGCAGGGCCTGAGCTGTCCTTCAAGTCTGCCCCTGGCCAGGTGAACTCAAAGGGGTGGGAGCTGCAAGAGGGATGAGAGTTCTGGAGAGAAAAGGGAGTGGAGGTGCATGCGAAGGCCCCGGAGACCCAAGAGGGTGGGAACTGTGTTTGAGTGTGGAGTTGGTGGTGGTGTGTGAATGGCCGGACCTACAGCCGGGATATGCGGGGAAACAAGGACAGACTGGGGACTCCAAGCATGAAGATTAGATCTCTAGGTGAACACACATACGGGGAGACAGCAGAGAGGCCAGAGGGGTAATCTGGGGTCGGAATGTAGTCTGGGGGCTGCAGGGCCTGCGATCTGGTGTGGATAGGGAAACCAAGGTAGGTGTGAGAGTCAAGTAGGCTTGGGCCTTCTTTGTCCAATAGAGGAAAGGTCAGAGAAACTCATCTGAGAAGTGAGACGGAAGGTCTGGAAGAAAGGGAGAGGGACATGATCTAGGTGGGAGAAAATTACGGCTCTGGGGTCCCGGAGAGGTGCAGACCTGGTGCCTGAGTTGGGAGCCTTGAGGGCGTGGACAGGGGGTCACGGTCCTAATCTAGGAGATGTGGGTCAGGGTGCGCTGGGGAAGACAGTGCTGGAAGTGAATTGTAGGTTTGGGGGCTGGAGAGAAAAGTTCCGGACTAGGAGAGGTCCCCAACGAAGGGTGTGGGCCGTGAAACGCAGCTGGGGGACGGAGAGGGAGCAGAGGGCAAAGGGGGCGGGCGGGCGCGGGGGCGCGGCGGGAGTCTCAACTGGCAGGGCCGGCTGGGGCCGGCGGGGGCGGCTCGGCCCCCTTGACGCAGGCGGCCTCGCAGTGCTTGTGGAGGTAGGACTTGAGCGCGAAGCTCTTGTCGCACTGGCGGCAGCGGTAGTGCTTGAAGGCCGAGTGCGTCTGCATGTGCGCGCGCAGGTTGGAGCGGTCGGCGAAGGCCTTGCCGCAATGCGCGCAGCCGAACGGCTTCTCGCCAGTGTGCGAGCGCATGTGGCCCTGCAGCAGCCAGGGCCGCGAGAAGGCCTTGCCGCACACGCCGCACTTGTGGCGCAGATTGTGCGTAAGCACGTGCATGGCCAGCGCGGGCATGGACACATACGCCTTGCCGCATGTCGGGCACTTGCGCGCCAACTGGCTGTCCAGGCTGCGGTGCGTCTGCTTGTGGCGGCTCAGGTTCGACGACGTGGCGTACGTCTTGCCGCACTCGGCGCAGGCGTGCCGGTGCCCGCCTCCCGCCGGCGCCCCCGCGCGCCCCGCACGTCCCCCAGCGCTCCCGGGGTCCCCCGCGCCCTCCGCGTCGCCACTGCCCCCGCCGCGTCGCCGCCGCGAGCGCCCGTCAGAGATGAAGAAGGCGTCCATGGAGTAGCTGTCGGTCACGGCCGCCTCCCCGCGAAAGTAGCGCGCCGACAGGCTTGACTGTGGGCTCTCGGGGTCGCTGTACTCCTCCGGCGCCGCCTGCGGGTACGCGGGCTCGGCCGGGGCCAGCTCCAGGCCCGGCTTCTGGTCCGCATCGTAGCTGCTGGGGGGCAGGCAGTGCGGGGCGTAACCTGGAAGGGGCGAGAAGGCAGCGAGGAGGAAGGTGAGGTGTCGAGAAGGAGGGCTTCCCCCTCGGGCCGATCAAGTTTGCACTTCCACACTATTCTCAGTGTGTTAGCCAAGATTCTTGTTTGCAAGTGAAGAAAGCCAATGTGAATTAGCTTAATGAAAATAGCAACACTTGGCTACTCCTCACTTGACTGTGGGATGAAGCCAGGTTTCAGGGAAAAGTGGATTCAGAAACTTTTTCTCTGTCTCTCACTTGACAGAGGGATTACCTCCACATGACAGGAGTGTGGCTGTTAATGGGGATTACGTTTGTCTTTTAGAGAGACTTGATGAGACAGGCTTCAAACGCACAGAAGTGTATCCTTTCAGGATGTAGTAGAAAGTCCAAGGATGGGGTAGCTACTCTGTGGTCACTTGGGGCACAGGCCCTTTCGATCTGCCTACTTTATCATTTTAGAGTAGAGTTCATTCTCAGAGTTACCTTCTAGTTTATGTTTGTTGATGAAGTGCCAGCCTGAAAGATGGTAGAAAAACTAATATGACTCCCTTTCCTTTTTAAGAGATGTCTCAGAAGTTCCATATAACGTTTTCCTTGTCATTAGTCTTGCATGTTATTAGCTAGAACTTGGTCACTTGGCCACCCTGGGCTGCAAGGGCAATTGGGGTATGTAGTCTTTATCAGTGTGGCTATGTGCTCAGCTAAAATTGGAGTTCTCCTACCAAGGAAGGAGAGAATGGGTATTCGTAAGTAGCTAATACCCTGAGCCACAGCTCTCAAGTTACAAGTCTTATGACACGAAGAGAGAGAGAGAGGAAATTTCCAAATTCTAGTCAAATGCCCTCATTTGAACTAATCAGCTATGGCCAGAAGGGACAGAAAGTTATTTTTAAAAAAGCACAAACCATTATTATTGATCATGACTTAAATGTATGTAGTTTATTAAAAAATAATTACTAGCCATCTGCTATTGGCTAGGCACTGTGCCAACTCTAGGGGTGATGAAAAAAAGACACTTCAGTCTCTGTCCATGAAGCTTCTAGTCCAGTTGAGGTGATAGATAATGACCAAATAATCACACTGATTAATTGAAGAGTGTATATTGGTAGTATGTGCTGCAAATGAATAGCATGTGGCACCTGCGGAAGTAACCACCCAGGTGGGAGACGAAGGATGAAAAGGCATTAAGTAGTGAAGAGTGGTGGTGATGGCAGTGCATACGGAATATGTTACCAGAAAATAGCTTATGCAAAGGCCCTGTGGCAGGAGGGCACAAAATTGCTAAAAAGAGGCAGCTGGAATTCAGAGCAAAGGGATATATAGTTGCAGATTAAGCTGGAGTGGTGGAAAGAGCCAGATCAGGTAAGGCTTCAAAAGTTACCCTAAGTAATTACACCCCCAACAATCCCCACCCCCAACACAAAGTGGGAAGTCATTAAGCAGGGAAGAGGGATAGTAGTGACATGATCCGATCTGCTTTTCTAAAAAGATCCCTGTGGCTGCTGTGGAGAGAGGAAGGGAGGTTGGCAGGGTGGGGGGTGGGGGGGTGGACACAGAATGGATCCAGGAGACCAGTGAGAAAGTTGATCTGGTTGTCCAGGTAAGAGATGATGGTAACTACGGTCTAGGGTGGAGACAGAGAAGATGGAGAGGAAAAATCAATAAAACCTGGTGAACGACTGGATGGTAGGGTTGGGGAGACAGAGGCAGGAGAGATAATTTCTGGGTTTTGTGGCTGCAAGACTGGATGGGTGTTGGTTCCATTCATGGAGGTGGGAAACCCTGGGAGAGAACTACATCATGGCTTCAGACTAAGGGTGTACGGTGCTCTTGGGATATCCAAGTGGAGGTGGCCTTCAGGAAGATGTGGACTTGCAGCTCAGGGAGGTCAGAATTGAAAATGTAAATTTGTGAGTCATATACATATGGGTGGAAATTGAAGCCACGGGTGTAATAAGATTGTTTCATGGGAGGGTGGTGAGAAGAGGAGAGAGTCTGGGAGAGAACCTTGAGGAACACATACATACAAGAAAGTTCCTTGCTTGGGTATAGAAGGTGAGTCTGAAAAGTTACTAGGAGCAGCCAGACAGGTAAGAGGAGAACCAGAGAGATACGCTGTGGAGGTCTTCCTTTGGGAGAATTATGAAAAGCAGACTGGTTCAATATGCCAGTTGAGGTGCTCTGGGCTGCAGGAAACAGAGACCTGATTCAACTGACTTAAACAATAAAGACACTCATGTCATATACCATGAAGTCCAGAGGCAGCATATTGAATGAGTTTCAGGGTGATTTTTTCAGTGGCTCCCTGACATCATCCAGGATGTGGGCTTTTCCATCTCTTTGCCGTCCAGGGTGTGGGCTTCATGTTAAGGCTGGTTTCCTTCGTTGCCACACGATGACACCCTTCCATGTTCATGTTTATGGGGAAAAGACTTGGCTTTCTTCTTAAAAGAGAGGAAGAAGCAAAGTTTCCTGCAAGCTCCCAGCAAACGTCTTCTTAAGTCTCACTGTCCAGAATTGAGTCATATACCCATTTCTCAACCAATGGGGGATGGGATTACTCTTCAACCAGTCATGACCATCCCTTAAGCTGATGTGCAGTCCCCAAATTGTGTGGTTGCCAATCAAGGAGGGAGTGGGGAAGGATGGAGGACAGACCACTAAAACTGGGCTGGATATAGTCAATGGACACGGAGCATCCATTCCCATCTCCCTCTAGGGTGCCTTCTCAATTGCATGTGGGAGAGTTAAAAACCTCATTTCTCAGACTTCCCTGCAGCAAGGATAATGACAGTTAATTAGGGTCTGCCATTTAGATGCACTTCTGTGGAATTTGGGTGGCAGAAGTGGGCAGGGGCCATTTTCTTATTGCCTTTTCTCTTGCTACTGGCAAGATGTTTATGGAAGCTCTAAGTTTTGTTCTGATGTCAAGCCACCAGCATAGTGGGAGACAGGAGATAGTTACAGAGGCAGTGGCAGGGGTCTCATGATCCTTGGGTTGCACTTAAAGTGCTGTGTTCTTGAACTCAATAGTTCCAGTGAGCCTCTTGACTCCCTCCTGTCTGGCTGTGGAAGAGCCAGCAGCTTCCCTGGTGGGCCAGTTCTGTGGTGGTGTTCTAGGGATCCTGCTGTGGACTCATCCCTTCAGCACATCCAGCAGTTCTGTCATCAGCCAATGTCCTCCTTTAAGGGGATTTAATACAGAGAACTAGATGTTTATAAAATGCTGATCTAGAGTGGGTTCTGTTCTCTGGACCTGAGGATGTAATTGATGCAATAGCCTGTCAGGAGCAGTATGTAGCCACAGGGGACTGCATGGGTGGCTAGGAATGATGGCAACAGGAGCCTGGGCCTCTCCAAACACCAGTGGAGATTTTGTGGAGGGTTCCCAAATTGCTATCATTGCCAGAAACACATAGGACAGTGCTCAGGACACAGAGATATGTGAAAGGAAAGGCCAACAGGCAAGGGTAAGGATCTAAAAGTAAAGTGCACTGCCTACAAAAGGAGGAAACCTGAAAGGGTTCCCTGGCAAGGAGGTTGATTTGGTTGTCCAACATTTGCCTGAACATTTTTGGTGACAGCTAGCTCACTGGCTGTAGGGGCAGCTCACTGGGACAACTCTGCCTGCTGAGCCAAAATCAACCTTTTTGCATGCATGCTCTTGCTGCATGTGTGACCAACAGGGCAGGTCAGAAACCTGGCCAAAGCAGCAAGGAATGTGGAGAAAGAATACAGGGGTTGTAAACTGGCTGTCAAGGGATAAATCTGGCTCACAGTTGTATTTAGCAGGTATAGTTACTTTGAATTGCAATTCTTTAAGGTGAGGTACACTCTTTAGGTCTAAGGTGTGACACTCTTAGTCACAGGCTCCACCATTCCCTAATGTCTTGGGGTGATTTATGTTACTGGTTCTGAAACACTTGTGATTCCACTATTTGAGTATTTAGGACTGAAGATGCCTGGGACCTTGTGGATGTCAAGGGGCCCCCGGAGCTGTGTGACCTCTAGTGGCAGCTAGAGGCTGGTCAGGCCACAGGGAGGAAAACGGAGTGAAAAAAAATCCGGCTGCCTCTCAGATGCCTTCCCCCTCCCCCCCCTCCCCCCGTCACAAGGTCTAGAGGCACTGGTAAGTGGCCAAAGTCCCTTTAATATCCCTGAATTGCGTTACAAGTAATACTGCTGGAGGTGAGGAAGGGTTGGGGGTCTGGGGCAGGAGATGGGGGAGGAGGAGGGAGGAGGAGCGCCAAGCGCCCATACAAAATACGGCCAAAAGTCTTAGCATGCATGGAAAATTATTGCTGTCGGAAGTTCCTATTTACAGGGTCAACACCCTCCATAATTGCTTCTGCGACCCCTCTCCCTCCCCCCATCCCTGCTGCCACACTTCCCTGGGGGGCCTGGAGCTGAGAAGCCCTAGAGAAGTGCCCCTGCTTCAGGGGCCCCTCCAGTCTCCACCCTTCTTTGTGGCTAGGGGAAAAGGAGGGGGGTCAGAGAGTCCAGGACTCCTGCTCCCCGAGCTGGGCGCCTAGTGATGGGGCAGAGGCTGTGCTTAAAGCAGAGGGGACCAGGGCCTGTGAGCGTGGAGGCGTGTGCTTTGTCCTCGCCTGGGCATGCAAACACGCGGTGGGGGAGGTAGTGGCGGCCAACGAGGGGATGGCTGGCAGCCCTGGCCCCTCAGCCCAGGAGAGTTGCATAGAAGTGGCCGGGAGGCAGAGCTCCTCCCCGGTAGCGGAGCAGGCCGGAGGAGGCCCCAGCGGGGTCCGGGGCTCAGTCGGTCCCTGGAACCTGGGGTCCTTCAAGAAGAGGAATAGGAAACAAATCGAGGAGGCTCCTCCCACCGGTCTCCTTGGAGTGGGAGTGGAAGGTTCAGGAGGGTGGGGACCTGCCCCGGGCCTGGACCTCCTGACATCCTCCTACCCTCCCGCTGAGGGTCAGCATTCTCCTGCCACCTTCCCCAGCCAGTTCAGGCCCTGATGAGGGTGAGGCCGCTCCCCACTCCCCAGAAAGGTGTGTGGGGGTGGGGGTGGGGGGAGTGGGGATAGCGCTCTGTGGCCTTTGCTGTCCCTCTCCTTGCCTGACTCCCTGACCTCCCAGTCCAGCTGGGGAAGCTAGACCATACCTGGGTGAGACCAAGAGATTAAATAGAATAATAAATAGATAAACAAATAAATACACAAAGAAATAACTAGAGAGGCCCAGACGGGTGGGAGGAAGGGCATTTGTGAGGTACCCCAGGCCTCCCCCCAACAAATAAAGAGGGGTGCCTGTAGTCCTGGGGGTCAGGGAAAGTGCTCAGAGAATATGGGGGAGGGCAACTCCAGGTTGGAAGTCCGGGGAGGGTCTGTCCTGGGCCAGCACGCTACATTAGGGGGCAGGGCCTGAGCTGTCCTTCAAGTCTGCCCCTGGCCAGGTGAACTCAAAGGGGTGGGAGCTGCAAGAGGGATGAGAGTTCTGGAGAGAAAAGGGAGTGGAGGTGCATGCGAAGGCCCCGGAGACCCAAGAGGGTGGGAACTGTGTTTGAGTGTGGAGTTGGTGGTGGTGTGTGAATGGCCGGACCTACAGCCGGGATATGCGGGGAAACAAGGACAGACTGGGGACTCCAAGCATGAAGATTAGATCTCTAGGTGAACACACATACGGGGAGACAGCAGAGAGGCCAGAGGGGTAATCTGGGGTCGGAATGTAGTCTGGGGGCTGCAGGGCCTGCGATCTGGTGTGGATAGGGAAACCAAGGTAGGTGTGAGAGTCAAGTAGGCTTGGGCCTTCTTTGTCCAATAGAGGAAAGGTCAGAGAAACTCATCTGAGAAGTGAGACGGAAGGTCTGGAAGAAAGGGAGAGGGACATGATCTAGGTGGGAGAAAATTACGGCTCTGGGGTCCCGGAGAGGTGCAGACCTGGTGCCTGAGTTGGGAGCCTTGAGGGCGTGGACAGGGGGTCACGGTCCTAATCTAGGAGATGTGGGTCAGGGTGCGCTGGGGAAGACAGTGCTGGAAGTGAATTGTAGGTTTGGGGGCTGGAGAGAAAAGTTCCGGACTAGGAGAGGTCCCCAACGAAGGGTGTGGGCCGGGAAACGCAGCTGGGGGACGGAGAGGGAGCAGAGGGCAAAGGGGGCGGGCGGGCGCGGGGGCGCGGCGGGAGTCTCAACTGGCAGGGCCGGCTGGGGCCGGCGGGGGCGGCTCGGCCCCCTTGACGCAGGCGGCCTCGCAGTGCTTGTGGAGGTAGGACTTGAGCGCGAAGCTCTTGTCGCACTGGCGGCAGCGGTAGTGCTTGAAGGCCGAGTGCGTCTGCATGTGCGCGCGCAGGTTGGAGCGGTCGGCGAAGGCCTTGCCGCAATGCGCGCAGCCGAACGGCTTCTCGCCGGTGTGCGAGCGCATGTGGCCCTGCAGCAGCCAGGGCCGCGAGAAGGCCTTGCCGCACACGCCGCACTTGTGGCGCAGGTTGTGCGTAAGCACGTGCATGGCCAGCGCGGGCATGGACACATACGCCTTGCCGCATGTCGGGCACTTGCGCGCCAACTGGCTGTCCAGGCTGCGGTGCGTCTGCTTGTGGCGGCTCAGGTTCGACGACGTGGCGTACGTCTTGCCGCACTCGGCGCAGGCGTGCCGGTGCCCGCCTCCCGCCGGCGCCCCCGCGCGCCCCGCACGTCCCCCAGCGCTCCCGGGGTCCCCCGCGCCCTCCGCGTCGCCACTGCCCCCGCCGCGTCGCCGCCGCGAGCGCCCGTCAGAGATGAAGAAGGCGTCCATGGAGTAGCTGTCGGTCACGGCCGCCTCCCCGCGAAAGTAGCGCGCCGACAGGCTTGACTGTGGGCTCTCGGGGTCGCTGTACTCCTCCGGCGCCGCCTGCGGGTACGCGGGCTCGGCCGGGGCCAGCTCCAGGCCCGGCTTCTGGTCCGCATCGTAGCTGCTGGGGGGCAGGCAGTGCGGGGCGTAACCTGGAAGGGGCGAGAAGGCAGCGAGGAGGAAGGTGAGGTGTCGAGAAGGAGGGCTTCCCCCTCGGGCCGATCACTCCCCGTGTCCATTGGCTTGGCGTCTCCATGGCCGCTCTGGGAAAATGATGCCTTCCTCTAGGCCGGTGGTCGCTGTCACGCACCTCTGCTCTTGGTGTCAGGCTGTTTGGGTCAAATACTTATTCCATGGGCCACAGTAAAAATTACCCTCAGCGCCCCCTTCCCAGACCGTGCCTCTATTGGCTTCGTGTTCACTGTTTTAAGTGCTCACAACCACACAGTGAAGAAGGTCTTATACCCACTTTACAGATAAACGGAGGCATATAGAATCTAAGCTCACAGCTAGTGAGTGATGGAGCCAGGATCAGATCTTGACAGGCAAACGCCAAAGCCCATGTTCTCTTTTAATCCAACAACATCCTGCATTCCAGGCCTGTAACATCTCTGAATCTGTTTCCTCATCTACAAAATGGATCTTATAATTGGACACCCCCACCCAGGGACTTTGGAAGGACTGAGTAAGGATGAAAAGAAATATGTATTAAGCACTTACTGTGAGCCAGACTCTGCCTTATGGATGTTAACTCATTTAATCATCACAGACTCTACCAAGTAGGTACTGTTATAAACCCCATTGTACATGTAAGGAAATTGAGAAAAGACAGAGAGGGAGCACAAAGTAATTGCTATATAAATGTTAACTATTATAATTATACTTTTTACTTGCTTGAAAAAGTAACTTCGCTGAAGATTATTTAATTGTCTGCCTCCTGCACCAGATGATGAATTTACCAGGGCTGGATTTTTGTGCCCAACATGTGCCTGGCTCAAAGGAGGTGTGTGATGAATAGATGTTGCATAAATAAATCACAGCCCTGTTAGACCCACCACTCAGGGCTGCTGGAGGATTTAAAAGAGGTCAAGTGTGTGGCCTGTAATAGGTGCTTCAAGAAAGGGGCTTCCTTATTCTTGCTCCCAAGCCTGCTTTGCCCACTGCTTTAATAAGAAGCCTTCTAGAGTCCCCCTATGAGAATTCACCTCTCACTCCCTCCTTTCTAGAGTTGTGCCAGAAATCCTGTCCACCTTGGGTTTGAGAGAGTGGTTGGTGAGTGGGCCGGGCCTCTCCCAAGGAATTCCACAGTGGCTTCCCAAGGCAGAGGCCACCCCGGTTTGTCTCTGCCTCCCAGGGCTTAGGATGGTCCTAGCACTCTCGCTGAGGAGCTAGAGTCTGGGCTGCCAGGAGAATTTCTGGCAAACAGGCAGAAACTTACATTCCTGTCACTAAATTATCAAGTGTTTCCATTGTCTTTTGATTCTGGAGAACAATGGAGGTTAGGCCCCTTTCCAAGGCTTCACAGCTGTGGAGTGGCAAAGCAGGAGATTTGACCTCCCCTTCTGACCCTGAGACTTGTCGGGGTTTCTCACCCTCAGTCTTCCCCACTCAAGTGAGCTGGTGGAAGAGGACTTGTAAGCAGGGAAATGGATTTGGAGCTTGCTTTTCCTGGAACAGCCTGCCGGATTCAGCCCCTGTGCCTTTGCCTCTCATCTGGCATTTGGGACGTCACAGGGTGAAGTCTGTGCACACTCTACCCTAACCCTGAAGGCAAAGGTGTGGCCTTATTTTTCCCTCTGTCTCTTCAGCTGCCCACATTGGGACCTGTGCACACAGAAGTGATTAGGGATCGTGGGGGTGGATGACTCAGTAGGGAGGGACTCCCGGTCAGATGCAGAGAAGGCAGTCAGTGGTAGTGGCAGTTTTTTAATTGGGGGGGGGGGCAGGGGAGAGGATTGTCCAGCTTCTCATCACCCCATTCCTCCCCTCCTGTCTGCCTTTGGGCTGGAGGTTCCCCCACTTTTCACTCCAGGAATCAGGCCCATACTCACGCCCCAAAACATTCAGGGAGTATTGTTTCAGACTGAGTTAAATACACTTGGGTTTGAGAGAGTGGTTGGTGAGTGGGCCGGGCCTCTCCCAAGGAATTCCACAGTGGCTTCCCAAGGCAGAGGCCACCCCGGTTTGTCTCTGCCTCCCAGGGCTTAGGATGGTCCTAGCACTCTCGCTGAGGAGCTAGAGTCTGGGCTGCCAGGAGAATTTCTGGCAAACAGGCAGAAACTTACATTCCTGTCACTAAATTATCAAGTGTTTCCATTGTCTTTTGATTCTGGAGAACAATGGAGGTTAGGCCCCTTTCCAAGGCTTCACAGCTGTGGAGTGGCAAAGCAGGAGATTTGACCTCCCCTTCTGACCCTGAGACTTGTCGGGGTTTCTCACCCTCAGTCTTCCCCACTCAAGTGAGCTGGTGGAAGAGGACTTGTAAGCAGGGAAATGGATTTGGAGCTTGCTTTTCCTGGAACAGCCTGCCGGATTCAGCCCCTGTGCCTTTGCCTCTCATCTGGCATTTGGGACGTCACAGGGTGAAGTCTGTGCACACTCTACCCTAACCCTGAAGGCAAAGGTGTGGCCTTATTTTTCCCTCTGTCTCTTCAGCTGCCCACATTGGGACCTGTGCACACAGAAGTGATTAGGGATCGTGGGGGTGGATGACTCAGTAGGGAGGGACTCCCGGTCAGATGCAGAGAAGGCAGTCAGTGGTAGTGGCAGTTTTTTAATTGGGGGGGGGGGCAGGGGAGAGGATTGTCCAGCTTCTCATCACCCCATTCCTCCCCTCCTGTCTGCCTTTGGGCTGGAGGTTCCCCCACTTTTCACTCCAGGAATCAGGCCCATACTCACGCCCCAAAACATTCAGGGAGTATTGTTTCAGACTGAGTTAAATACCTCTTGGGCACTCACAGACCCCCTCTTTCTCCTGCATTTCTTCCTATTGTAATTACTAATAATGACAATAATAGCTAACATTTATCGAACACTTACTGTGTACCAGGCTCTGTGCTAAGTGCTTCACTCACATCACTTCATTGAATCATCACAAAAAGACTTTTATTACAAAAATCCTCTGTATTAAGAGAACTGAGAGACACAGTGGTAATGGGACTTGCTCAAGGGGTGGATCAAGGACTGGAACCCACTGCACAGCCCCCCTTGTTTTCCACATGCTGGGAGGTCCCTGAGGAAGGGGCTGTGGCTGGGATGTTCATCTCCTATCCCAGGGCCCCAGCTACTGTGCCCTCCATAGGTGTTTGTGAATTGGTGATAAATGGATGATAAAGACTTGCCAGGCTAGCCTCAATTTCCAGCCCAGCAGGGTCTGCTATAGCCATTCTGTCTCCCTGGTCTCAGGACAACTTGATTCTTGACAGATTCTAGCTGGGTGACTGAGCAAGTCATGCATCTTCCATGCCTCAGATCCTCTCTCTGGATATGGGATGGTATAGAATCCATTTGGAAGGGGTCACTGATAATGGTACCAGTGCCTTACCTGTTCTATTATTAAGGAAGGATGGCATCTTTGTTAGGAGCACCGCTTTGGTGCTCCACACCTCGACTGAGCCCCAGCTGTGTAACCTTGGACAAACTACTTGACCTCTCTGTACCTCTGTTCACCCAGCTGTAAAGTGGGGGATAATAAAAGCACATAACTCCTGCAGTTGCAATAAGGAGTCCATGAGTAAACAGTAAGTGAAAAGAGAACAAACAATAACCAACATCCTAGAGCACTATGTGCCAGACACTTGTTTTTCATGAATGCATACCACTTTCATGACTTTAAGGTTGGTAACGTTTTACAGAGGAAGAAACTAAAGCACAAGGTAATTAAGTAACATGCCCAGGGTTGCACAGCTAGTAACTTACAACCAGGATTCCTACCCAGTGCCTGGTACATTGTAAACCCACAATTTGTGTTTGCTGTTCTAACAAGTAATAACAACAGTCTCTCTAGATGGGTTTCTGTGCCGAAATTTTCTTGGAATCTGTCCAGACACATCTTGCTGCTCCTCTGTTGGGCCTCTGTTTCCTCACCTAGGGTGTGTAATTTCTACCTCATGGTCTGATGAGAAAACTTGTAGTGGGTGGTAGGTCCAGGCAGTCTCCTCACCCAAACCGGGCTCTCTGCCACAGCGCCCTCTGGTGGCATCCTTCAGCACTGCAGCATCTTACTAAGTTGCTGGAGGACTTTATCATGAAATAGCGGCACCTCACACAAAGGCTGACCCTCTGCCTAGAGAAGGATGTGAAATTGCCTTTAGGACAGGCACTGTGGGCCAGATCTGATGCCCAGCAGCTGTGGAGTTTGGCATGGGTTATGGTGTGGGGATAGGGGCAGGGGGCCTGAGAGTTGGCGTGGTCATGTTAGAAGGCAGTGATTCAAACTTGCTTTGGGACCTTGGCTAGGTTGGTTAACCTCTCTGGACTCAGTTTGTGCAGAAGATTAACCAGGATGCCCTAAAGACCTTTCTGCATAAAAACAGATCTATTTTAATAGAGCCCTCATTGATGCCTGTTGTTCTATCCCCTGTCCCTCAACCCCCATCAACTTCACCTCATTCTCCTCATATCCACAGGCTTCTCCCTAGCTTTGTGATTTGTTTATCCTTTTTGTGCCATATTTGTATAAGGGAGCTCATAATAGCATTGAATGAATCAATGCATGTTAAGTGCTTAGGACAATGCATGGCATACAATAGCCTTTCAAGCTGTTGGTATAATTGTCATTATTATTATCCCTGTATTTCCTGGTGATGTCCTTTTAATCTACCAGAGAGTGGAAAGAGACATACATGGTTGCCTCAGGCTGCTGTGTGACCCTGGGCAAACCACCTCACCTCTTCGGACCTCAACCCTGGAGAACCCTTTAGGACACCGTAAGCTGTGCTCTGACTCTGTGCATGGAACCCAGTTGGTTTTGGGTGACTTTCTTTGCCCCACAGGTGGCTATGGAAGACTGAGCTGCCTGTCCCTCAGCTGACACAGTGAGACAGGACTTTCTTGTTTGGGTCCTGATAGAGGCAGGGAGGGCCGGGGACCCAGAGAGGAGACCTGCCTTTTTCACAGATACCCTGGCCGTGTGACCTTCGGCAAGTCATTG